GGTCCCTGTGCATCTGCCCAGTGGCTCAGGTGCAAGAGGGCGAAGCAGGAAGGAACCTTCCTCTCCACTGAGAGTCCTTCTCTGTTGCTCTCGTAAAGGCCAAGTGCCACCTCACCCCCGCCACCCCTACGTTCCTAAACAGAGGTTGTCCCAAAGGCAGGAAAAGGACATGGGGATTGGGAGGTGGCAATTTTAACTGCCAGCAGCCTGGAAGGACAGAACCCACAGCCTTATTACCCCGCTTACCCCAGCCTTTCCGCAGGCCCCGCTGATAGGGGGCCTCCCCACCCCCAACACACACACACACACACACACACACACACCCAGGAAGCATGGAGAGAGGAGTAACTCGACTCTGAGAAAGAAGGAGGCTGCTTTCTCCTCCCAGGTCCGCGGGCAGCTGCCAGCTGCTGTTTGCATGAATGAAGACTGAGGTCAATCTGTACCTGGGAGAGAACCAAGCAGGAAATAAAAGGGCTGTCACTTACTCAAACCTAAAGCTAATCAAGTCTAACTAAGGGGAGCAGCCCGTCCCCCACTCAGAATGAGGGGTTTGCTCGCCAGCCGCCCCCTCCTACCCTGCTCCTGCTCCTCACTGGCGCTTACAAAGGATCATGTTCTCAACCTGTTTCTCCTGTGCCTGTTTCTGTCTCCAAGGTGACTGTATTTATATTTCCAATTGGCTGCTTTTTTATGTAGTTTTTTAAGTATTATTATTACTTGTACGTGGTAAGAAAGACGATCGAAACAATGAAAAGAGAAGTTCCTCTCCCACCTCGGATCCCACTCCCTCATCCCAGGGACTTCTCTTTTTTTTTTTTTGAGGAAGATTAGCCCTGAGCTAACATTTGCTTCCAATCCTCCTCTTTTTGCTGAGGCAGACTGGCCCTGAGCTAACATCCGTGGACTTCTCTTTTAAGATTCGTCTCAACTATGCCAAAGGCAGGCCCAAGACTTCAAGCCACTCCCGGCGCCCCCAGCCCCCAGCCCCCAACCTCAGCAACAGCCCTGGCATGTAACTTGCACCTGGAATTATGCTAGGACTTTGCAAAATGGCTTCTCAACAAATCGGCTGAATGAAGAAAAGAAGCGTTGAACAGTTTCCTAAACGTAAAAGGTTACAAAACCATTTGCATATACACAGAGTAAAAAACACTAGAAGGATACATACTAACATATTAAATGTTAAAGCTACTTAGTAGGATTATAGATTATTTTTATTTTCAATTTTGTGATTTTGTCTATTTTCCAAGTTTCACAGAAATAAGTACAAAGCATTTTTAAAATCCCCGAAATAATTACACTCACACATGCATACACATTCACCTCCCCCACGCCAGCCTGGCAGATCCATCCTTTTAGTGCATTTGGTTTTTGTTCCATGTCAGTGCAGGAACTCACATTTCTAAAGTGCTTTACAGTTTATAAAGTACTTTTAAAAGCACAAAACTTCCCAGGAGTCAACAATGGTCCTGTGACTTTCTGCTTCCTAGCATCTTTGCCCAGAGCTCTAGGAGAAACCGTGACACATTGAACTGTCCTCACCCTTGTCCTTCGTCCATCCCCCCACCAAGCACTCTGCAGCTGGCAGGCCCTCGGCAGCTCTCTGCAAGGTGCTTTCCGTGTCCAGCAGAGCATGTCCCCAGGCATGGTGCACGCAGGTAAGAGCAAAGGGAGCACTTCCCTCACAGGTGGGAGCGCCAAGGCTCAGCAAGGGTCCGTGGACGCTCAGAGTGGCTAGCATGCAGATGCTTCTCCCTAGCCAGGAGACGACCCAAGGCCGCTTACCAAGGGTGATCAAGCCATCTCCGCCAGGAAGATGATTCTAAAAAACAGAGGTGGCTGTTCCAACTATTTACATCTACTCTCCATGTGTGCAGAATGTCATCCATGTACCATGGACATTTTTTTTTTTTTTGAGGTAGATTAGCCCTGAGCTAACATCTGCTGCCAATCCTCCTCTTTTTTGCTGAGGAAGACTGGCCCCGAGCTAACATCCGTGCCCATCTTCCTCTACTTTATATGTAGGACGCCTGCCACAGCATGGCTTGCCAAGCGGTGCCATGTCCGCACCCGGGATCTGAACCTGAAAACCCCGGGCCACCGAAGCAGAACGTGCGAATTTAACCGCTGCGCCACCGGGCCGGCCCCTACCATGGACATTTTTATAGCAATGTACAAGCATCTATGCATCCTCTATTTCAATTAACCCCATGAAGCATATATTAAATCTCCATCTTACAGGTGAGAAACCTGAAGCGCAGAGATGAGCTCAGTCACCCAGAGCTGCTATCCAGCCCAGCCCCAGGGTCTACTGCCCCTCCAGGGGCCACTCCCACCAACACCCAGCCCCAGATGGTCCCCACTGCCCCTGTCACACTGATACACGTAGATGCAATGACCCAAAAAGGTCCCAGGCTTCCATAGGGTAGAGGAGATAAGTTCAGCTGTAGGGTCAGCTGCCTAGGTTCAAATCTTGGCTCTACTACCGAATAGCTCTGTGACCTTGAGCAAGGTACTTAATCTTTTCCACGTGTAAAAAGGGGACGCATTAGTCCCTACTCACCGGCTTGTTTTGTGCATTCATTGAGACAACGCATGTAACGTTTACCACAGCGAGCGGCACAGAAGTCAATGATCCTGTAACGTCCTCCATCATCTCATTATTACCATAATCATCATCACCATCATTAGCACAAGGCAGAGAGAGCACAGCACACAGGCACAGTGCTTTCTGAACACCAGACAACGCTTCTACGCTTGTCTTCTCTTTCATTTTCTCACAACAATCTTGCGAGGCTGGCAGGGTGGGAATTGGGGTGTTCATCTTACAGCTGAAGCCACAAAGCCTCAGAAAACTGACTTAGCCGTATGCACACAGTTGTGGCCAGGACTCAAGCCCCGTGTGGTCCAAATCCCAAATCCTAAACACTTCCCAGTTCCCATGCCACCTTCTACCCCACTGAGGGTTCCGGAGCCCTCAGTGGGTCCATCTGGTTTTATGTTGGGATGCAGGATTAAGCATCCCCCCCCGTGGAGGAAGTCATTGAACCTCTCCAGGCCTCAGTTTCTCCATCAGTACCACCTGCCCCTCCACTCCTTCTCTCCCCAGAAGTGCCCTGAGGATAATGAATGGGAAGGAGCATCGAGGAGCATCCGTCTGTCCCCCCTCGGAACCCTACGGACCGCAAGCCGGAAGGAGAAGCAATCCACAGCCCAGAGGCTTGCTCAAACCACCTGTGTGACATTCAGGTCAATTTAAGCCACTCCAGACCTCCGATCCAGCCAGCCCAGCTTCCTGTGGAACCCACAATCCGGTGGCTGCAAAAGCAAACAGACGGTCTCCTGGTGGAGCCTAATCCGGAAAGGCACGTATTGTGGCGGCCGGAGGGCGGAGCCCGCCTCCCCACGGACTATCTGGGGATCCTACACGAGTCATCTCACCATTATTTTTAAAATTTAGTTACACTCAGCTCCATCCACCAAGTATTTACCGTGGCTTAGGATAATACAAACAACACAAAAGAATAAAATAAACAGGCAAGGGAATCAGGCCAAGAGAAATTAAGTGCAGGGAAAATAATAAAGCCAGAAGTAAGATGGGCACGTGGAAATTCAGACCACATGGCCCCTTCCTACAGAAGCGTCAAGATGAGCCACAAATCCAGCTCTCAGGTGCTTAGTAACCAAAGTCAAAGGAAAACACCATCAGCCATGAGATTCCCGGTGCGCAGAACATGGAAACAAACCAGTTGTTCTGGAGAAGCACGTCTTTCCCTGCCTGATTCAGAGCCTCAGAGAAGTTTCTCCACTGGACCTTCATAAGAGGACACAGTGGCGCAGCAACGCGGCCTGTAACCTCCCCACCACAGACCCTAATGTCTCCTCCAGGCGTTCCTTACTTCACCGGCTCCTCCTGCAATGCAAATGTATAATCCAGCCAAAGGGGCAAGTCACTTGACCCCTTAGAGCCTCAGTTGCCTAATCTGTAAAATGGTCCATCTCTCTGACCAGGCTGTTGGGAGAGTCAAACAGGATAATGTGTGATGACTCCCAAGCCCAACACAGAGCAGGCCCTCCATAAAGTAGGACTCTCGTTCTGAATTAGTCACTCATGTATCCCAAGTACCTAGAATGGCCACTGGCACATAGTAGGTACTCAATAAATATTTGTTAAATAAATGAATGAATAAATTTCCTGCAGCAGGTTCCCAAAAATGCTAGCTAGGCTCATGAGATACTTCTAAAATGAGAGAGAGACACGGGGTAAAACAAAAATCTGGGGAAAACAAGGGTTTTATACATCATACACATATAAAGGTTCTTAGGAGTCCTGCAAGAAAGACATCTGTTCAATGTGTTAGCCCAGAATTCTCCAAACCTGCACGACCACACCCCTGCTTTTTCCCCCACCAAACAGGAGAGAGACCACAAGTGTTCTCAAGACCCTAGCAGACTCTAACTGATCCTAAGAAGGAAAAGGGGCCACCTCAGAGATAAGAGATGGCCCCACAACAGCCAAGGAACAAACAGCATCCCCCACTCTCCACCCCAACCCCCTCCACCACCACCACCTCTTAACTTTGGAACACACTGCTTATTTTTTTTTTTTTTGGAGGAAGATTAGCCCTGAGCTAACATCTGCTGCCAATCCTCCTCTTTTTGCTGAGGAAGACTGGCCCTGAGCTCACATCCATGCCCATCTTCCTCTACTTTATATGTGGGACGCCTACCACAGCATGGCTTGCCAAGCCGTGCCATGTCCGCACCCGGGATCCGAACCGGCGAACCGCGGGCCGCGGAAGCACAATGTGTGCACTTAACTGCTGCACCACCAGGCCAGCCCCTGCATTTTTTAAAATCAAATGGCTCCTTCAGGCCTAAACAGCCACCTTTGCCTGGAGAGACTGACACTCTGGCTGCCCCCAGAACATTCCAGAACCCACTTGCTCAGCTCAACTTCAGCAACACCAATTCCCAGCCTTCTGGCTCAGTGTCACCTGCATGCAGAGAAACAGCCAAGTCAAAGCAAAGAGCCCAGAGTCGGCGCCGCAGAAGGGCCCTCACTGCCCCCAGGGAGGGCAGCCCTTTCCTTGAAGACGGGGGGGAGGGGAGGAGGTACGTGGGTACGTGTCCGAGTCAGGCCCCCAGCGTCCCAGAGTCCCTGGGTGGCCGCCACAGGGTGCGTCACATGTTTCTGTTTAGCTCAGTAAAGCCGAGGCCGCCTGGCAACAGGTTCCCCTTGCTGACGCCCTGGCTGCCCGCCTCCGCAGGTTGGTGCCACCACCCCAGCTCCCAGAGAGCCCGGCGGGCAGGAGGTCGGCCATCGGAGCGACGAGCACCCCTCCCCCACACGAACAGGGCTCTCCTGGGCACACCGCAGGGCTTGCCAGGCAGGAAATGATTAACGAGTGTTTACTGAGCACTTCCGGGCAGCAGAGGACTGTTTCCAGCCTCAGCTCCACCCCGTACTCTCCTGCAGGTCCCGGTGCCCATTCACCCGTCTGTGAAACACTCATCAAGTCTCTACTAAATGCGGCCTTGACCTCAGACCCCTGTACGCTGCTGAGCTCCAGGCCTGCCGTCCACACCTAACGTGGACCTGCACGACCATCAGATTCAGGTCCTCCAAGTTCTAGACGCCTAGTCCAAGCGTTTGAAAGAAATTAAAGGGGCCTGTAGGCGAACGTGGGCCCAAAGGGAGTTTAATATCACTTGCCATTTACCTTCTGCCCCGGGGCTTGACATCCTGAATGCAACCTTGAAACTCATTCTCAGCAGCCCCCGCGTAAGGGACCCAGGCTAAGTGCCAGAGATAGGAAGATGGATGAGACTGGGGAGCGCTCCTCTCCCGAGGCCCCTTCTAGACGCTGCTCTCCCTTCCCACCTCCCCCATCTGCCCTGTTGTTCTTGCCACCTGGCAGGTCCTCCCCAAAGGCTGCTTCTGCTCTTATAACAAGCAGAGCAGTTGCCCCGCCCTTCCCCCCACTAGATCCCCGGGTCCTTGTCGACAGGACATTATCTTCCATTCTTACTCCCCTGCTACTTAAAGCCCTGGGCTTGGCACACAGCAGGCGCTCCAGGACCGTGCTGGATGAAGAGCAGCGGCAGTCAACGTTTTGGTTGGCTAGATCTTTCAACAAAGCTGCCTAGACGCCACCCTTGAAAACGCCATCTTGGGGCCCTGGTTTCATTCAATTAGCAGCACTTGGAGAGAGGGTGTGGGCACGCAGGAAGGGAAACCGCTGTCGCTCTCTGTCATTTCCAGAGCTGAGCTACACCTTCCTTACTGCACTCCTCAGGGCTCTCCCCTTAAGCAGATATTTTTTAACAAACTGAAAATTGGTTGATCGCTACCGTCCCGTGTGGAGGAAAGAATATCTTGGGCTTTGCAGTCTCTCAGCCCCAAGTTCAAACCCCAGCTCTGCCACTCCCTCCCACGTGACCTCGGCAAGTCACTAGACCTCTCTGAGTCTCAGGTTCCACATGTGTGAAATAAGAAACCTACCACAGCCTCGGGACTGCTGTGAGGGTTCAATGAAATAAAGTGAGAGAAAGTGCCCCGCACGGCGTCTGGCATCAGTCAGGGCTTCACAGGTGTTTGTGGCTTGCCCTTCCCCGGTAATTCTTCAGAGTGGAGCCCAAACAAAGGCAATGGGCACAACGGACACAGCCTCACTGCCTGGGTTCTAATCCTGACTCTGCCACTCCCAGCTGTGCGACCTCAGATGAGGTATCTGACCTCTCTGTGCCTCAGTTTCCTCATCTGCAAAAGGAGAGTGATAAGACCCAACCTCAGAGGGCTCTCATGGGAATAAAAGTTCTTAGAACAGAGGCCGGCCAGGTGGCGTAGTGGTTAAGTTCGCATGCTCCACTTTGGTGGCCCAGGGTTTGAGGGTTCAGATCCCAGGCACAGACTTATGCACCACTCACCAAGCCATGCTGTGGCGGCACCCCGCATACAAAAGAGAGGAAAATTGGCACAGATGTTAGCTGAGGGCCAATCTTCCTCACAAAAAAAAAAGTGCTTAGAACAGGGCTTGGCACATCAGAAGCACTCAGCATACACACCAGCTATTATTACTAACCCCATATTTGACATTTTTATTGTTCTTCACAGGTTACAAAAGATCTTCATGAACATTATCTTCCTGGGTCCTCCCCACTCCTCCTGGAGACGGGCAGGGTGGGCGTCAGCAGTGAGTCACCCTGAGGACTATGCCCAGCCTGCAGTGGAGATGGGTGCCATCCGGTCCCTACAGTGCTTTGTCTGGTTCATTTGAGTCAATATTTTTTAAAAGCAGAAGATTGATTAACATTAAAAACCATTTCCAGCTTTTCTTGAAAAAAGAATCAGAATAACTGACAACTCGGTGTTCCCTAGGGTTAGAATCCCAGCTCCAACACCAAATAGCTGTGTGGTCTTTGGGCAATACTTAACTCCTCTGAGTCTCAGATTCCTCGACGCTCAAACGAGGCTTAAAAATCGGAGATTCCTCAGCGGGTTGCAGTGAAGATTAAATGAGTTGACATTTGAAAAGCACAAACAACAGTGTCTGAATGGACCCTAGTGACGAGTGCACAACTCTGTGAATGTACACAACGCCACGAAATTATGCACTTAAAAGTGGCTAAAATGCTAAATTTTATGTTATGTATACTTTAGCGCAATTTTTTTAAAAAACAAATACAGTGCCTAACACATTTTAAATTAATGCATTAATTTAAGAAGGTGAGAGGGAGGCGCTCCCCTTCAAACAAGGCATGTCCTATTAGTCTGCCGGAGTCCCCACCACTCCCTACCGCCTCATTAACACCAACCACACAAGTGTGGCCCGTCACATTCTGAGCTGCACCCTGCTATAACAACTAAATGAGAACACTGTGGGAAAACGCTTGGAACACTCTGTAAGCATCACTTTCCTTCCTTAAGTCACTCCACTCAACATGGCCAATCTAGTAAGTGGGAAGGCCAGGAACAGATGCCAGGCTGCCTTCTGCCTCCAAGGCCAGCTCTTGAGTTACCTTCAGCACAATGCTAGCGGCTTACGTACATACATTAGCACCACACAGCCTTGGTCCTCGTGGGCCTCTCTTATAAAGAAGCACACACAGGGGCCAGCCCAGTGGCGTAACGGTTAGGTTTGCATGCTCCACTTCAGTGGCTGAGGGTACACGGGTTTGAATCCTGAGCGTGGACCAACACACCACTCATCAAGCCATGCTGTGGCGGCATCCCACATACACAATAGAGGAAGACTGGCACAGATGTTAGCTCAGGGCCAATCTTCCTCACCAAAAGAAAAGCAGCAGCACACACAGCCCCAAGCTATGAAAGGTAGCAAAACTGATCAAGCTTTATAGGTCAAATGTCTTACAATGTGTGGTGACTCCCACGTGACAGGGAACACTGACAGGCAGGATGCACCTATGTCAATCCCTGCCATGCCCAGTGGGTCTGGTCCCTGAACAGGCTGTGACCACCGCTCCACCCTGCCCGCCTCCTAGATGCTCTACCCTGCTCACCAAACCCCACTTTCTATTTAAAGACCCAATTTAAGTTCCACCTCTTCAATTCATTTGACAAACATTTATTAAGCATCTACTGGGTACCAGGCCCTGTGACATGGTGCCCTTGGGAAACCCAGCTCATTTAGGGAAACAAAAAAAACAAGAGTTACTTCAGCGTGTGTAAGGGCCTGGTGGCAAGAAAGGGCATGGCACCCTGGGGGAATTGCAAGCAATGTGGGGTGGCGAGCCTACACAGCGTGCGTGTCCAGAATCCAGAAGGCACTGGGAGCTTCGACGGGCTTGGAGCAGCAGATAAGGCGGTCTGGTCTGATCACTCAGTGGCAGTGCGATGACTCAACTGGGGAGGTCCAAGCCTGGAGGCCCAGAGGTAACCCATAGTACAGATGAGGAGGCTCCCCCTGGGAAGGTCCAGCGACTTGCCCCAAGGCACACAGCAGTCACGTGGCAGAGGCGGCCTTGGCCCAGGTCTGCCTAGCTCGTTTATAAACACCACACTCAAGTGCACCCACACATCCATACAAAGTATGTTTTTGAGTTTGAAGTCTGGTTGATGGTTTCACCCAACTGGGTTCAAACGTCCTGTTATTCTGTATCCTCATCTTCAAATGCCTTCTATTATGAACATTTTCTCGTGTCATTAGGCATTCTTTCCAAGCCTTGGTAAGGACTGCGTAATAGTCCACGATCAAAGCTATCTCCCCCGGCTTAACATTTAAGTTGTTTCCACCCCATGGCTTCTTGTTTTTCTTTAACAGACCAGCCCACACGAAGTTCATCTCACTGTGTTCTCACGGGGGAAACTCTGCACCCCTGATACCACCCATTGTATGACTTATCTCGGATGAGGATGAGTAAGACAATGACTTTCAACGTTTTATCAGCAAGTTTTATTATAGAAAGAACCCTCCTCTTTTTCTTCCCCAACCCATCTCCCAAAGAGCCTCCCACTTTTACCAACTCTATGTTCATTTGATTACCAGGTTGGTTTCTCTACTGGGTGTAAATGCCATAAACGGGGGTGGCAGGTGGGGACCATCTGGCAGCCAACAAACAGCTCCAGGACCCAAGCACACTCATCCTGCCCTGGGAGGGTCAAAAACAGCAAGAGATGCCAGAATCCAGCAGACACCTTCAACTCTTGCCCAGAAGGAACAGATTTCTCGCCAGCAGATCACCAACACGTGTCAGAATTCAACCCCAGCAAACCAATTCCACATCTGTTAGAAACCGGGCAAAGAGGGGGACGTTCTCCGAATCTGCTGTGTGTTCTCTACTGGAACTTTAGCGTCTGGAAGAACAAAGTGGTGGAGCCAGGAAGCTGGGCTCACGCTGTGACTGGCTGTGTGGTCTTGGACAAGTGGCCTCCCTTCTCTGGGCCTCAGTTTCAACATCTGCAACATGAAACGTTTGAATCAGATGACCCTCCCTGCTCTGAATGAGGTCCCTGGGCCTGCCCGATTTTGTCAATGAACGGTAACTACACCTCATAATGCAAACTGCTAAGTAAGGCCCCCAACCAACAGCTGCTGCCTGGAGGCAAGAGGGTAGAAACACACAGAGGAAGGACCTCACACCCGTGTCCCCTCATGTCCTCATAGATCAGGACTAAGGAGAACGCACCAGATCGCTCTCCGGTGGGGGGGTAGGCACAAGATTCTGACTTAATCTAAGAAAAATATCTACCGTGCATTCCCTAAGCCTAGCTTCTCATATTAAGACTAATGTGCTTGTCACACTTAAAAAAAAATTAACTGACTGATTCATAACAACCCAGCAAAATACTAGAGTCAGAACAAGAGCAAGTCATTGTGACGCCAACTCCAAAGGGGAGGTTTCTGTCTTTGTTTCCTAACTGGCAGTGACAAGCTCTTCACAAAACCCAGGCAAGCTGCAAGTCACTGATAAAGGGGACAGTCAGCCCTGCCACTTGAACAGAGATGAGCCCAGATACGAGAGGCCACTGGAGTGACCAGGAAGGCTTCCCTGGTCTGAAGGTGATGCCTGGCCAGACGGAGGGAGGAATGTGCTGGGGGAGGCTGCTGATGCTGCAGGTGGGTCGCTACACCGCACGCTTCCCGGAAACAAAGGCTCAAATTCAAATACCAGGAAAAATCAATAGTCTCTGGATTATAACCAGCTCATTAGCCTCTGGGTAGGAGCTTTCACAGGGCTCAGAACTCCCCCAAATGGGCAGGGATGTCCTCCCAGACCAGCTGGCTACCTGCCCCCTCACCCCGAACCCGCCTGCACCTGCTGCATGTTGTGTCCCCCTCCGCCCACCTCCCAGATCGTCAGCTCTGCACGTCCCAGCAGGCTCTGCTCCCCTCCCCCATCCCTCTCTCTCCTCCTCTGCCCTGTCTCCCTACCCTTCGCCCCCATTCACATCAGCCTTGAGGGAGGCAAGGGGCTGGGAGAAGAGTTCCAGATTCCAGATGAGGAAGGTGATGCTCAAAGGAGATAAGATCAGCTCAAGGTCACAAAGGTCATGCCGAGAATCTAAACCCTCTCGTAACTCTAAGTCAGTGTTCTTTCTCCTGTCACACCTACACACCAGGCCCTGCCGATGCTGGCTTTGAAACACCTCCTCTACCCCACACCCTACTCACACTAGTACACGTACACACACACACACACACACACACACACACCCCTCCCACTCTGTCCAGCTCACTGCCGCTCTACAGCACCCCTCAGTCTCTAGGGCCCTCCCAGCGAGGCCACTGCAATGGCCTGTCCACTGGGAACAGGTGGCACGCTGGCCTGCTAAGATCTACCATTTTCTAGCTCTGCAGCTCACTTAATCTCACTGAACCTGAGGATCCCCATCTGTAAAGAGGCGATAAAAACAGACCCTACCTCACAGGGTCATTTAAAAGAAATGAAGCCCATAAAGCTTGCCCTGGACCGGTCTGGTGAGGGCAGAAACACACACAGGCCTCCTCGTGCCCACCCTACTGGAAGACGCCACACACCACTCCCCAGATCAAAATCCTCCATGTTGAAAACACACATCCACACAAAAACTTGCACACAAATGTTCACAGAAGCATTATTTATAATAGCCAAAAAGAGGAATTAATCCAAACATCCATCAACGCATGAAAGGAGAAATAAAATATGGTATACCCCATGGTGGAATATTATTCGGTCATAAAAAGGAATGAAGTGTTGATATATGTTCCAATAAGGATGGACCTAAAAAACATTATGCTAAGTGAAATAAGCCAGATCCAAGAGGACAAATATTGTATGATGTCACTTATGAAATACATAAAATAGGCAAATTCTTAGAAATCAAAATGGTGATTGCCAGAAGCTTGGGGGAGGGGGCAATGAGGGGTGACTGCTAAGGAGTGTGGGGTTTCTTTATGGAGCAATGAAACTATTCTGGAACTAGATACTGGTGGTGGTGGCACACCTTTGAATAGACTAAAAACAACTGAATTGTACACTTTAAAAAAGAGTGAATTTTATGGTATGTAAATTGTATCTCAACAAAGCTGTTATTTTTTCAATTGCCATAAAAAATAACAAAACAATAAAATGATTAATATTTAAAATCTGAAAAAAGGCATCCTCCCAGAATGCCTCATTCTCTACAAGACAGAGTCTAAATCACGTAGAGAGCCGAGACCTACCCTACCTTGCCACAAACACTGTGAACTTGCCAGGCGTGACCCCTCACTGTACTTGGAATGAGTCTCCCCCACTGCGCGCCTGGGCGCCCAACATTCACCTCCAAACAGCAATCAAGCTGACTTTCTTGGCCTTACGCCTTTCTCAACTCCCGGCTGTTACCCTGCGGCCTGCACTGTCTGTGACTTGAAACTGTCTCCAACCAGCCCATTTTCTCTCTCCAACTAAAGCGGAACCTCCTAAAGGAAAGAGATCCGGACTGGCCTGTTTCCCTCCTCTTCTGTCCCCTCCTCTCAGGTCACTGTTGTGTCAATACCAACAGCAGGCTCCCCATGACTTCCTGTGTGCTAAATCCTTGACAACACGATGTTCTTAATCCTGACCTCAGCCTTCTTCCATAGGCACTATCAGACTGATTTCCAGGCAGGGAAACAAAGGCAGGTGGTGGAGGAGGGGGAGGAAGGGAGAGGGGAGAACCTGATCAAGGTCAAGGTCACGATGCCAGGGGCAAAGCTAGGATTTGAACTCCCTTCTCTTCCCACTGTGCTGGCACATGCTGCCACTGAGATGCAATCAGGAAGTCTAGATACCCAGCAGGCACTCAGCAATACTCCATTCTGCAAATGTCCAGCCAACCATCACATGCTTTGAGTTTAAAGCTAGATACTAAAGAGCAGGCACCCCTAAAATTAGCTCTAAAAATGAAATGAATATACCCGATTCTCTTTGCAGTCAGGTAATAGACAACTGGGTCCTGCTGGTTTCTGGCTGCACCTAGAATTTTTCTAGGTGCCACCAGACAAGCGCGGATCGTAGTACAAAATACAGTGACTTGACATTTTCCCTGAGCATAAAAAAAAAAATTAATGAATTTTTAAAAAGATCACACAAAACAGGCTCTACTGAGTCACACACGGTCAAAAAGCGGTCTGAGGCAGGCACCACACAGCCCAGCTGGCACGTCTGCGAATGCAAATATTAAATTTAAAATCTGTTTTTAAAAAATGATAACACCCAGTGCCGGTGTGGGCGTACTGAAACAGTCTCATACATTCTAGTGGCAATGTAAACAATATACCCTTTCTGGAAAGTCATTTGGCAAGCGGTCTCAAAGATTATAAAGATGCCTGGAAATTAATCCGGCAGAAATAATTTCTGTTTCACAGCAAAAGCTGTATGCATGAAGATATTCATCCCGGTACTACTTATAATAGTGAAAAATTGGCTGCTGCTTAAATCTCTAAATAGGAAAAAGGTTAAGCGAATTACAGAACTTCCACCACAGGCAGGATCCTGCAGCTATTAAAAATTATGGTTATATCATCCATATATCACCATGGAAAAAATGTTTTCTTCACTTAGTCTTTTGGCATTAAAGGATCTGAATTGTCCCTGCTCTGTGATCACAATCATTTTAAACAAGCAGCCACCTGGAATAAATCGTAGCTGTAACTACTTTAAAATTATAATAGTTCTGGGGCCGGCCTGGTGGCATACTGGTTAAGTGCACACGCTCCGCTTCGGCGGCCCAGGGTTCACCGGTTTGGATCCTGGGTGTGGACATGGCACCGCTTGGCAAGCCATGCTGTGGCAGGCGTCCCACATATAAAGGGGAGGAAGATTGGCAGCAGATGTTAGCTCAGGGCTAATCTTCCAAAAAAAAAAAAAATTATAATAATTCTGTGATGAGGGGGGCATATACAGCTTTTTTTTCCTTTCTCCAGTTTCTAAATTTCTTTGAATGCTGTTACACCATTCTTATATAATTAGGAAAAAATTAATTAAAAAAAAAAAAGACCAAACTCATTTTGAAGCTGCTGGGCCTCACCTCGCCACTGAGGCCTTCCCACCCCAAAATAAGGCAACCACTTGAAATGTGACTTTGGCTGTTCACTCTTCCATTTATCAAAACAGGGCAAATCCACCCAGAAAATACCACAGCAAGGTGACAGCCAACCCAGGCCCATCAGTCACAAACCTGCATCTCCAATAAATTGACCACAATGAAGAAAGAGCCCAGGTAAACGGGCACGGAAAATGAAAGGCTGGTGAGTTGCAGTGATGGACCAAGAATTATTGTTTTAATTTTTTTTATTGGTCGTAGTCCAGTGCCTGGCACAAAGTAGGCACTCGAGAAATACTGGGGGCAGAAATTTTGTAAATGGGAAAATGCACTCATTCGCCCACCCTCTCTGAGCGCCAGGGCCCAACATGCCATTTCCACCCCCCGGGGCCTGCAAGCAGCGCTCGCTGAGGTCCTGGCAGTGGGCCTCCCCAGAAGACAGGAAACTGGTACTTTTGTCACCAATGTGAGAACAAAACAATAAGAAAACTTAAACGTCAGCGTGAGAGTAAAGGTTAGCCGGGAGAGAGAACTAACATTGACTGTGTGTCTCTCACCACCACCTCTTCTGGGGCCCCGCAGGCATGATTTCATAAATTCCTAACACCCTGACTCCAGAACCTAACTGCCAAAGCTTGAATCCTGGTTCCTGGATTGATTCGCTGTGTGACCTCAAGCTGGTTGCTTAACCTCTCTGTATCTCGTTTTCCTCTCCTGTGAAACGAAGGCAGAACCATCTCATTAGGTAGTCATGAGGATTCACTCTGTTGAAACACACAAAGCTCAGAGCACAGTGCCCGGCTCATAAAAAGCAGTCAATCAATGTCAGCTAATTACTAATACTGTGATTCCATTTTGCAGACAAGAACTGGGCCTCAGAGAGGTTCCGTCAATCCCCAAAGATCACACAGC